GGGTGGGGAAAATGTCACAGAGTTCCACCTAGAGAACAAGAGCCACAAGCAATCAGTGGATGCTGAGGAGGGAGAACCAGTTTCCTCCAGGGACGACCTCCCCGAGAGGTTATGTAATCCCAAATGGACAGCCCTAAACACAGGCACACACGGGCATCACTAAATGGACTCAGTGCGTAATGTGTGTGTATATTTATAAATGTATGTATGTATGTATATGTAACTACAATATCAAAGAAGAGGCTGTATGTCTGTCTGTATGTATATGTAAATGTATGTAAATGTATGTATGTGTATGTAACTATGATAAAGAAGAGGCTGTATGTATGTATGCATATGTAAATGTATGTATGTGTATGTAACTATGATAAGGAAGGGGACAAGAAATTAAGAAGGGACATGGGAGGAGTTGGTGGGGGACTGGGAGAGAGAAATAGTACAGCAGTGCAAAGACAATTCTAAAACATTTTTGTTTTAAATTTAAAGAATTTACCGAGTTCTTGCTAGGAGCCGGGAGGGGCCCTGTGAGTGAGACACACGTGGGGATGAGTACGTGAGGGGGCGGTGGGGGTGCAGTAGAGAAGTGCACAGAGAAGAAAATGGTTCCCAAGGCACTGGGAGACCCAGTATCAGGCTGGTGTGAAATGGCCAGGGCTGTGGATGGTGGTGTGGCCAAGGAGGGGGACTGAGTGGACAGCTTTACACATCTCAGCAGAAGGTAAGGATGGGCCAGGAAATCAGCTGGGACATCTCGAAGGGTAGCTATCGGTGCAGTGGGGACAGCTGGTGCACACGTCAGTGGGCTGTGTAAGGACATGGGCACAGTGGCAACTTCGGAAGGCAGTTCGTTGGGGATTGTGTTTCTAGATGCACTGTGTACCTGCACTGGGGGACTGTGTCTGGGGGTGGGAGAACGGCTGGGCAGCATCATCCCGACTGTTGGGGCAAGTCAACAGAACAGCAAGAATTTGGACTGACTGATAGGCAGGGGCTACACCAGCCACTGGCAGTAGAGAGAGAAGTCCAGGCTTCTGCCTGAGCATCTGAGAGGTGGACACGTTGAGAGCTAGACACGTTGAGAGGACAGGCTAAGCGGCCATCAAGAGGCGTGTTTGATACGTGGGCCTGGAACACACGTGAAGAAGCTAAGGCTGAGGTCTGACACGCAGACAAGCAGTTGAGCCTGGCGTACCACGGCGCACACGGGCCTGAAGAGAAGTTCATGGGGGCTGGAGGTGCAGCTCGGTTGGTAGCGTGCCTGTCTGGCCTACCCAACCCAGACGGGCTTCACCTGTGGGTTAGATTCCCGGGGATCTCACTAGGTGGTGGCCAGCTCCCGCTGCCAAAGGCCGTAGGCTTCCCAGAGGAGACAGGCATGGAGGCTCTGTAGTCCTCTAGGTGAGGAAGGGAACCTCACTAATGAGGAAAGTCGAGAAGTGGGGCCAGAGTGCCTCAGCTGGAGGTGGGGTGCGTGGAGCTTGAGGGGACGATGGGTGGAGGACCTTCCTGAGAAGAAATCAGAGTCCATGTTATTAGCATTGCTTGGTAACGACTTCTCATGGTGATCAGATTTTTTTTTTTTTTTTTTTGTTGGTGTTTTTGGGGGGGGGTTATCTGTTTGTTTTCAACTCACTATAGACCAGGCTGGCCTTGAACTCACAGAGATCTGCCTGCCTCTGCTTCCCAAGTGCTGGGATCAAAGGCATGTGCCACCACACCTGGCCAGATTATTATTAATTTTTTTGAGACAAAACTTCACATAGACCAAGCAGGGCTCAAACTCACGCTGTAGCCAAGGATAACCTTTAACTTCTGACCTTCCTGCCTCTGCCTCCTGAGTGCTGGGATTATACGTCACCACACTCAATGTATTCAGTACTAGGGGGTTGAACCCAGAGCTTCCTGAATTCTAGGAGACCGCTTTACAACTGAGCCATATCCCAGCCCTAAGACCAGTTTTTAAAAGTAAAGGAACAACTTACCTGGTATGGTGGCGCATGCCTTTGATCCCAGCACTAGGGAGGCAGAGGCAGGCAGACCTCTGTGAGTTCAAGGCCAGACTGGTCTACATAGTGAGTTCCAGGCCAGCTGGGGCTACAGAGAGGCCCTGCCTCAAAAAGACCAAAATGGGGCCTGGAGAGATGGCCCAGCAGTTAAGAGCACTGACTGCTCTTTCAGAGGACCCTGGTTCAATTCCCAGCACCCACATGGTGGCTACAAACCGTCCTTAACTCCAGTTCCAGGGGAATCCAACACCCTCTTCTGACCTCCATGGCATTGCATGACACAGGTGTGCTCACATACATGCAGGCAATACACTCATACACAAAATAAAAATAAATAATTTTTTAAAAAGACCTAAATAAATAAATAAATAAATAATGTAAAGGAACGGAATCAGAGCCACCTTTGAGAAAGAAAGCTGTCACTCAGGCCCAGAAGCCAGAGCGACTCAGAGATGGTGCCTCCAGCATGTTTACTCAGCAACGTTCAAGCGGAAGGGACTGGCGAGGGGCAGTGATAAGTCTTCCGAGAACCAAAGGCCCGGTGCCCAGCAGCCTGAAGAGCTCGTAGCTGGGGAGGGGCGGGCAGAGGAGAAGCCGAGGGATCTGTGAGCTGGCAGCACCTTTGGGTCAGATGGACGGCTCAAGGCAGGGTCGGTGCTCCATGTGGAGTGTCCCCTTGAGGCTGTGAGTGTGGCCTTAATTGGGGAAATATAGTGAAGTCTCAAGGTGAGATCAATGTGGATCATCGAGGTAGCCTTAGAATCTAACACCAGATCCTGAGAGGAGACCCACAGAGGAGAGACTTGGAGAGGAGAGGCCACGTGGAGACGTGGTAGAGGTTGGACTGATGTGTATCTTGGGTCCCCAGGGGCTGTGGGAACAGGAAGGCCCTTCCCTGGGAACTCTGGAGGGAGCCATTCACGTTGCACCTCCATTCAGACTCTGGTTTGGTTTCTAGAACATAGACCAATCTCTGCAGTGGGAGGTCACACAGCGGGTGGTGTCCTCACAGCAACCCAAGGACACTTCAGGGGAGTTGAGAGATGTGTCCCGAATGCTCAGAACATGGATCTGGAGGCCCATGGTACCGTCCTAGACTTTCCACAGTCTGAGCTCTCTGTCAGAAGACCACTGTGATTCTTATCTGTCTCCACCACACCATCTGGTCATTGGTTTTGGTTCCTCTGTTCCTTGGCTGCACACCACCTCTGCTGGAACTATGGGTAGGATTAGGATACATCAACTCAGAGGAGGAGGCCCCACCCACTAGGGGTACAGGGGCTGGGCTACCAGTATGGGAGGTACCATTGGCTTGAGAACCCATCTCTTGCTCTCTGCCCGGGATAAAGCCTGCATGAGGACAGGAGCCTGGGTCGGCCCATGATCAGTGCAGGGCACCTGCCACCAACCGTCAGCCATGTCATAACCAAAGTAGTAATTTCCCATGGGAAATATCCTAGCTAGCAGTGCAGTAAATAATTTGCTACTTGGAAACTTTTGGAAGATTTATTTGGTTAAATAACCACTGACTCTAGTTCTTACTTAACATACATATTTGCAGAAATTCTGTGAAGCTTCCAAATTAGACAGACAGAGAAAAGAAGTTCACAGCTCACCTGCTACCTCCCCGTTCCCCACATCCAATTAACGGCACGTCCCCACCAAGCCCCAGTGAGAGTCTCGAGACAGACCTGAGATTAATTTTTCATGGAGCATTGGACTGTAAATGATTTTTCTATTTACTTGTGTAACTCGTACATAAAAGATGATGGTATTTAATCAAATACAGACCAACTGCAAATTACGCTAGATAAACAGTGTGAAGAAATTCAATATGCTATTGACTGTACACACATACGTGTAGATATATTATTGATATATATTTAAGAGTAGCAATCTAATTCAGATTGTTAACCCTTTGCAGAATAGTTGTATACTGGCTTGGGGCTTAGAGAAATTTGAACGCTATAATCCTGTTAAAATCAGGAGTATGTGGGAAAGGTATTTGTTGTTTAATCACATCCCTACTCATTTTAGCACCTCTGAATTTCTGAAAAGTCTCCCGAGCCTCTTGAAAGAAAGAGCCGCACTTATTTTAATCATTGCCCCCAAAGTCTCCAACGCAAGGGTTCTCCATTAAGAGACAGCCCCCCACATCAACCGGGCACTAGGCAGCAGGACACCCAGAGCACATTTCATCCACCCATCCACCCATTCACCCATACACCCATCGATTCACTCATCCATCCATGCATCTTCCCATCCATCAACACACCCCTCTACCTACTTACCCATCCACCCACACACCCATCCACCCATCCACCCACTCATCTATCCATCCACCTATCCACCCACCCACCCATCCATCCATCCATGGGTGGATGAATGAATGTGGGAGGCTTCAGAGGGTATCAAGGATTCATAGTTTAATTTCAGAAAAACCATGCTATCTTTTAGCAAATATGCATTAAATAATGTATGAAATGTGCTCGTGCTGAACAATTATCTGTTGTTTATCTGAAATGAAAGTCTAAGTTTCCTGCAATTTTGCTTGCTGAGCCTGGGGACTCTCCCAGCAGGACAGGAGGAAGAGGGAAAGGCTTCCTCTTTCCCCTCAGACCCTATGGGAAGTTCTGAGGCAGTTTGAAGACTGTGGGCAGACAGCTTTACTCCATGGTCTGTGTGCTGGCTCTGGGTCTGGGAGACTGAGAAGGTGGCCCAAGTGGCAGGGCCCAGGGCAGGTACTTTCGGGCCCCCAGGGCCACTGCTCGGCTGCTCCTATTTTGAGGCTCTTTTCCATGTCCTGTTAGGTCCCCAGAACCATTAGCTAATCCCCAGGACTCTGTGGGTGGAAGGGGAACCCTTGTCCAGGGCTTCTGATAGCAATTCCTGGCACCTTGGTATGAAAGAATTGAGTAACCGTTCCAAAACAAACAAGAAGACATTCATTGACCATGTGTGCACCTGTGTTTGTGGGTTTTAGGCTCCTCTGGAAACCACCAGTTAAAAGTTTGGGTAAGTCACCAGCCCCACCTCAAGATACAGCTGGACACTTGGTGTTGGAGGCAGCCAGGCTGCAGCAGCGTGTGAGGTAGGACCCTGGTCAGGCACACAGCCACACTTTGAGGGCCCTTGACAATCCCGTACAGGAACAGAGGAAAGAACGAGCCCCTTCTGCCAGCTTTCCCAGCCGGCCACATCTGCAACAGTAACGGGCTAGTTCTAAGGCCACAAGACCCCATAGACCCTTGACTTATAAGCCCCTTGCCTGATGCCCCCCCCCCCCAATTTGGTAAATGTCACCAGAAACTGTGCACTAGGAACTGTGCTAAGAAGTACTTGCTGCACCCTGGACCCTGGAACAATCCGGAAAAGCCTGGAATAGCTCAGCTCCAAGGGTCAGAGGTCCCCCTAAGGAGGGACGTCTAAACATATCCTGAAAATAAAAACTTACCAAGTGTTCTAGTTTGTTCTTCATTGCTGTGACAAAATACTCTGACCAATACCAACTTGGGGAGGAAAGGGTTTATTCAGCTTACATATCCTGGGTCACAGTTCATCAGGGACCCAAGGTAGGAACTCAGGGCAGGAACCCAGAGGCAGGAGCTGGAGCACAGGCCATGGAGGAACGCTGCTGCCCTGCTCCCGTGGCCCCTGCTCAGCCTGCTTTCTTATCCAACACAGGCCCACCTGCCCAGGGGTGGCACCACCCACAATGGGCTGGGCCCTCCCACATCACTCATCAAGAAGATGCCCCACAGACATGGCCACAGGCCAGGCCAATGGAGGCAATTCCTCAATTGAGGCTCCCTCAACCCAGGTGTGTCAAGTTGACAGTAAAGCTATCCAGCACACAGAGGAAGAGACAGAAGCACAGTGCCACAGAGCAGCCAGTGGAGGCTGGACAGGGAGTGGTCAAGGATGGCCTTCCTGCTGATGGCCCTGGTGTGGCATGAAAGACAGGGTTGATGGGAGCTGTTCTCAACCCTGGGGTCCAGTCTCTGCATGACCCCCCAGGGACCCACCCAGAAATTAAGAGCCCTGACCTTGCCCCAGCCCGATACCTGAGGATCACCTGGGGAGTTGGAGAAAGCCCAGCTCCTGAAAGATTCTACAGTGAAGTCAAGGTGGGAACCTTAGGGGTCCAAGAGGAACTGACATAGGGCCAGATACTCAGCCCAGCCTGGCCCTTCTTCCTTGGGCCAAACACAGATGGCATGCTCCACCCACCTTCCCAGGAAAGTTCTCCCATTCCCCGCATCTCTGCTTCCCCTTGGCCATGGGCCACAAGCCAGGGGCAGGCAAGGTGACTCTCACTCCAGGCCAGGCAGGAATAGTTTGGGTCCCCATGATGCCTCCCCTCTAGCTTCCAATGATGGCTGCTCAGCTGTCCCCAGCACTTAAGCTGAAGGCAGCTGTCGCTCCCAGCAAGCATTCAACTCCACTCTCCTAGTTCCGGGACTTAATGGTCTTTCTTTGCTGAGTTGTAGGTAATGGGAAGTGAACTTGACATCGGAGATCAGCTTGCCTGAATAGAGGAAATCAGACCCAGAGCCTCGCCAGGGTTCAGCTCCGCAGGTGTGGATCCTCCCCACTTCCCCTCACCCGCCGTCAAGGTGGGGCTGAGTACCAGAAAAACTCTCCCAAAATAGACTTAATAACAGATGCTGTGGGCAATTATTATTTTTCTTTGGAATGCTAAAATTTCCTCCTCACCCGGATATTTTTTGCTTGGCTGAAAATATCCTCCATCAAGCACAAGGACTTGGAGTTATAGTGGAGCCAGCCCCGCAGGGGTGCCTGGTCGGGTCTGGATGGAGTGTGTGATGAAGGTGGGTGTCTAGGGGTGGCTGGATGTGTGCTTGAGGATGAGGCCACAGGATGAGTGACCCAGGGCAGGGTGTAGCCTAGCCTCCCTCCCCTCCGCAGCCCAAGGGTGAGCAAGAGTTGAGGGGAGCATGGAGTGGCAGAGGAAAGGCCCCCAGCTCTGGAGCAACTGCCCAGACAGGAAGAGAAAAGGCGATTCACCTTTGACAAAGCCGAGAGGCACAAATGTGACTCCTTGTTTTGTGGGTTAGATATTGTCCTGACTCCCCACTCCTCCAAGTTTGTTAAAGCCCTTAACCCCCAGGACCTTATTTGGAGATGAGGCCTTTATAGATGTCATTAGTTAAGATAGGGTTGATGAGTACGGTGGCCCCAGCCCAGTGTGACTGCTGTTCTGATGGAAGGAGACACAAAGACACGGGGAGAGGGTGGCCCAGTGGTGATGGAGGCAGTGGAGCGATGTCCTTACAAAGTTCAAAGTCAACCGCCCCATGAGAGTAGAGCAAAGCCTGGGTCACAGCTGAAGGACCAGAGTCCACTGAGCTGTGAGGACGTGTTTCTGTTGTCCTAGTTGTGGGGTACTTCATTGGTCAACCCAGGACTGACATACTTGACCTTCTTTTCTGAGAAGCTAGACTTTGGGGGAGCAGGTGATTCCCCACCCCCAAATCTTGGGGTTATTTTTATAAACTGTGTGGTGTTATGTGGTGTATGTGGTTGTTAGTGTGGGTGTATGCATGTGTGTGAGTGTGGAGGCCAGAGTGTAATTTCCTCAAAAACACAAAACACAAAGGCTCTCCTGTCTCCCCTTCCTCCCCCATGACTGTGGTTGGGGAAGCAGGTGCGTTTAGGAGATTTGGGAGGTGGGCTTGAGTTCCAATCCTGTTATTGTTGCTTCTAACAACAGATCCTCAGAAAGAAATCGGCCCCCATTCTCAGCTGGGATGGCAGAGTACCTGAACCCTGTCCCTTCAGTGACCATAAGGACATGGTTACAGGATACATGTTAAACATTTACCTGGTGTGGCTCATTAAGCATCTCAGGGCTCACAATGAGCACAATCCCCTGGAGTTCATATCTAAACATCAGAATTCCATGCTGCTGGCCCAGTGGCCCGATTATCCTTCCTTGGGTACACTTAAATCTAAGCACACAGCTGACAGAGCACATGTTCTCCTGAGGAACTCTTCAGCTTTCAGCCTTGACGAGACCTTCTTTTCAGAAGCAGATGAGGCCAGGTAAGACCCCTGGGTACAGCTAGT